AACACTGGGTAAAGGTGAATCCGCGAGGTGTCAGTGGGCGAGCCGCGGAACGCACCGTTACCGCGCGACACGCCTCGCGAGCCATCGCGTTCGCGGCTCGCGCGATAAACTGTCGCCTGCCGCGCTAATCGCTCGCGTGGCGTCACACGAGGTTTTTAGGTCTCGAAATCAAAACAAAAAGATGACAGTGAAAAGAAAATCACTTAACTCCAAAAGCTGCAGAGCAATTTAAAAATATTTTTATGCACCATATTTTGTGATACGAAAAATAAGTAAAACGATGTCGTATTGTACGATATCTTTGATGATGTAGTGTGACCAATGATCATACCTAAATTATAAATAAATAAATATCCTTGGACATTTTACACTGCGCTTCTAGTCCCAAACTAAGCAAAGCTTGTACTATGGTTACTAGACAACGGATATAAACATACTTAAATACTTTTTTTTTGTAAATACATACATATTATACATAGAAAACACCCAGTCCAATACAAACAAATATGTTCATGCACACAAATGTTTGTACTGTGCGGGAATCGAACCCACAACCTCCGGAATAGTAGCCCGCCTCGAACCACTACATCAAACGGCTGACAAAATTATGCCTACGATATATTTAATTTCATATCTAATCGGCTAATTTAGTTAATAATAACAAAACACCTCGTCTCATGCGAAACATATAAGATAGAAAATCAGAACGTGGACGAGGTTTACACGACTTGCATTTACAATTAATAAATAATACAGAATTAATTAATTAATAACCCAACGCGAGGTTAGCGGTGCCCAAAAGGCTGGCAGCGTTTCCGCGTTGGATCGCTAGGCTTAAACGCTGGCCAAGGTAGAACTAGGGATACTTTTTTAATTTAACTTTTATTTTCCTTTTTTGTAAATATTGTATTTTTTTTTGTGTATAGTATAGTTTTTAAGTTTGTAAATTACCTGTACAAATTTAGTTTGTTATTGTTTAATAAAAAACCCAACGCGAACGCTACTTTGTGAGAAGAGACAACATTTAAAGCTAAGGTACTTGATACAAATAAGGCCTACCTAACTTTAAATGCTTATATTTCAATAAATATTAGTCGCCAGTCAACAAAAACAAGGTTAATTAACTTCTTCCATCCTTTAATTTTAGCAATATTACAAAAAATAACACAATTATTAACTAAATCTATTCAAAATAAGCAAATTACGAAACCACTGATTTTGGCTTTATTAAATCACCTACACGGAATAAGGCCTATATGATTCAAATGCCTGTAGACCTTAAAATTGAGGTTGTATTAAACAAAATGCGGTCTTATAACATTTAACACGTCGATTTGTTTGCGTTATCAAAATTTTATATACCAAGTAAACAGAAATATACTGTATATCTCTAGATAAACTTAAATTCCACTTATTAAGAATAATACATAAATTATAGATAAAATTAAATTCATAGTAACAAAGTAATGATTCCTTACTTAAATTATCAAAAAAAATATCAAAAACAAACAATATTATTTTTTTGTACAGGGCTTATTAAAACACCGTGTTCGAATAAGGCCTACACATAAAACCTTTTAAATAAATCAGTTTAGGAACATCATTTAGTCTTGATTTTTTGTAAACAAAATGAGATCTCAATTTTTGTTAGAACCAGGGCATAAAAAGGCTTCTGAATCATCTTTACGAACTCCTACACAATCTTTATGATACCACCAAAAGCAGTCCTTTATGGTAGCATATCTGCTACATTGTCTTCGAGACAGGCATGATAATATCAGCTTTAATCCTTTAGAATTATACATACGGCTTTTTTTTCTTATTTTTTATTGGTTTTGTATTTTGTTTCTTTTTTTTACAGGTTTAGTAATTTTTTTTTACTCTGTTTTCTTTTTATTTTCTGTGCTGTTAGTAACATTCTTATTAAATAAATATTTAGTTACTCTTTGACTCATTTAGTTTAATGAATTTGTCCGTAATCAGGTGTTGACATAAGTATCCAATATGGCCTACCATGCTGAAATAAGGCCTAGGCCTTATTAGATATTTCGCTCTTGTTGTCTTTAAAAATTTACAAATAATGCATCTATAGCCAGTAGTACAAATTAAGGTAATTATTAGCTAGTAAGAAATATTTAGAAACGATTACTAAGAAAAGCTTAATCTAAAACAGCGTTATTTTACCGAAAATTTAAGATGAAATCGCCAGATTTTTATAAGAGAGCACGAAATCACCCACCACCTTAGAAGAACGCGTGCCAATTGGTGCTGGGATCGTGGATCAGGACGCTCTTGCACTCTACCGGGTTGTAGGGCATATGAGTACGTGTCCTTGAAGTATTATCCCGGTTGGATTTATTTATCTGTGTTTTCTGATGTATAGGCCTTATTAGAACGTAGGCCTTATTTGTATCAAGTACCTTAGTGTAAAATGGATCGCGGCGACTAATGTAGCGCGACTACGACGCGCTACGAACTTCGTAGATCGAATCGAACTACAAGTAGGTAGATTGATTTATTTTTTGTTTTGTAGACCCTACTCTGCAAAATTTTAAGACATTTTCTTTTTCATACCTATCACCTAGCATGTTATGTGAGAGAGAGAGGCGTTTTTAGGAAAAGCCCACTGAACTCTCACTATGCTGATTCTAGGCCGAGATTCAAAATGGTTTAGGCATTTTGTAGCATCCAAAATAACACCTAAAGATATTGATATGTGTGATGCTATACAGATTTTTACGTCCCTTCATAGTATTGCGTAATCTTTTTTATTTATAATAATGTGAACAGCCGTAACCTTCAATTTATGATCTTGATGGTGACTATTCACACCGTCGATAGGATTGTAATGCCGAACCTCAAAACGTAAGTATAGCCAGAAACCTTTAGATAAAAATACAATGAAGCTATTAGCGTGCAATTTTAAGGAGTTATTAAACAAAGAAGATGAAAACAATGCCGCTATAAATTGATGGGTTGCGGAAAACGAAGGAATCCGTGAAAAATATAAATGTGCGCCGCACGCGACTACACAGCCAATGAAATATCTTATCGACAGCGTTTATGCCTTTGAGGTCCATAATATGTCCTAATATCTCGCAGGTTTAAACATAGATTTTCGGAATATAGTGCAGCCCCCCTAGACAAAACGCACTTTTCGATCGAATCGAAAATCGAATCCGTCAAAACTCCATACAAAAAAGGGGCTTTTCGACGACTTTTCGACTGTTTTGCGATTATAATTTGCACTTTGTCTAGACCCACAGTTTGTCACCTGTCATCCGCTTTGCAATGGAGGGAAGTCGAACCTTAACTTCGAACTCCTCCTACGTTCTTCGGAATAATTTCGTTACGGGTCCAATGACAATTTAACTTTCCCCTGGGACAATATTGAACTTCACTGGTTGGGTTTTATATTGGCGGTCAAACTGTAGATCCTGGCTACACTGGAGTTGCAGCGATGGGAACGAGAGGTGGCAATAGTCCTGTATAGTGCACAAGCTTTTGGCCACAACTTCGTCTGCGTAGACTAAAAATAGCCTTAATAATGAATCTACATACTCGTAAATGTACTATTCTTATGTATAAGTTAGTTAACCTGTATTCCCGTGGTCCCCATTGAAGTAATATTACATACTAGCGTAGTATATAAGTAATAACTCAATGGTTGTCCCCATAATGGGAACAAAAGGAATTGAATACAGAGTCTACATCAATAATAATTATTCATCCTCACCATAATCCTCACAATCTTTTACGTACCTATCTAGTTTTACGTCCCTGGCTGGTACCTTTTCTTGGTTCTTTTACTGTCTTGTAAAATAATGTTGTGATCACTGATCCTAATGTCTTTTTCAGTTTTACTTTTATTGATTTTTACTTTGTCGTTATACATAATTGCCAATGACTATCGGTGCCAACTTTCTTTGCTTTATTTCATCTTTAAAGAATAAGAATACTTTATTCAGATATAAAGAATACAGTACATATCATTATCCTTTAGAAGCTATGCTGAAGAGGCGCCCGCCCAGCATATTCGCGACATAACACAAATGTCATGTCGAGAAGCTGGTTTTCAGCGAGCTTTACAGCCCCTTACGAAAAAAAACATTTGTTTGTAATGTAGACCTACCCGAAACCAATCGCAATTTCAGGATCTCTCAGACCAGAGCGCGGTAGACCACCTATCAAGGTCGAGATGGCTGTATGGTTTTTTCGAGCTAGCGGATGGCCGATTGATGGTATTCGGAGGCGAATCAGCGATGGTCTTTAGTCCACTCAAGCGTAGCGGGGTCACAGAACTAGTACAAATATAATTTTGTTGCGCGCCAAATCACGGACTATTTAATTAATTGTTCAACTGTACAATATTCCTGTTTCGAGAAAATCGGCCTTGAGCAATTTTTGGGTTTTAAATAATTTGATATATTACTATGAGTTAAAAGATCACATGATTGCTTATTTCGTTTTATTTACCTAAATCTGAAGCTAAGGTGGATGCTCCTTGGAAAATCACCCCGTCTAACCCACTATCAATCTGATCCTTAATGTATGACACTAGTATTATATTATCTGTGGTATGACTAATAATTATATTATAAACGAACTTATCAAAAGCTATCATTCATGAAAAGCTCTTAAGCACGACGCTAAATCATAATGTAGATCCACTTGCTAAAATCTTTTTATTTAGAATAAGTTCAACCCTGAATTAAATGAAAGTTAATACAGGAGCTGATTGTTAAAATTTAAGTTGATATATATTTATAACTACATACTTAGTCTGAATTCTGGATTAAAGATGAAAATTAAAAGATTTCGAAAGCTGTTCTAATTGCTTTGCTCCTCAAAGAAAACTCACTGAAGAAAAAGACGATAAAAGCTCGTCACATAAAACTAATCCTTCGAAAATGAATTCTAAGAAAATATCTGTGAAAATATTGTTTACTCACCTAACTTTATTCACCATTTTGCGTGTTTAGCACTATTCACTGTCATACACCTTGCACTGAACCGTCAAACTTTGAATTTGGAACGCGGCGCGAGAGCGGTGGCGCGGCGTCGTGCGCGTGCGCTGCGCGGTCGTTGCGGAGTGGTCGCAGCAGCGGTCTCAGCCTCCTCTTGGCGATAGTCATTTCGCTGTCGTGGTTTGTACAGTCGGTGCCAAAACTTGGCTCTTCTTTGTTTTAACTATTAACATACTACAGCCATAAAACACATTGGTTCTTCTTTATTTAGATGTTTTCACTATCAAACTACAGCCATAAAACACAGCCGACATGTAACCATAGTTCCAAATGTTCTTCCTTATTTACTTATAATACCTTTTCAGGACAACTTATACACATCCTAAACCAGGAACGGGGATCCCTATCTGGTGATGTCATTATTAAGGGCTTCAAAAAGGGACTTAGGTCTTTTACATTTAAATACAACATTAATATTCTTCAATTGCTATGCTCAAGGCTATCAGCATAGTCAGTCCGAAAAAAAAATCTTCAATTGCTCCCCCAATCATCATCATCATCTCAGCCATAGGAACTGATGAATATAAACCTCCCCCAAAATGTCGTTATAAATTAAATTACTTGTTATTTGCATTTCATTGGGTTCCATTTCACATCCTTGTGTCATATTTTCAACTCTATCCAGGAAAAGTATTTAAACAACATTAACCAAAATGTCAATTTGTATAAAAATAATAAGTACACTAATCGTATTACGATTTTTCCGATATGAAAACAGTTTTTCTTCGAAACTTTTTTCGTGAACAGATTTTTAACGCAAACTATACCGAGCGCGCACAAAAGCGCGAGGGGCTTTAATCGCTTCTAAATCATTTGGGGAAACAATTGTCCAGGTGCGAACTGCCCGTTCCGCCAAATCAGCTCCGGACCGGACTAATGACTTACTTCGGAAGCAATTAGATGACTAATGAAAAACCTTTATGTAAAAGAAAAAACATTTCTATTTATAGACTTTTATTGTTTCCATCCTTTGGGTACCTAATCACCAATTCCTTCTTGACAGATTCAGTGACTCTTACAACCATAATACTTTTTGCGCGATAATTGCCTTAACTTTAATTAATTACATTAACACATTTTTAAAGGCGTCTCGCATTTTTTACATTTAGATTCACCACAATATTTTACAATCTTCAAAATAGATAAATGCCGATTAATTTTTCCATCCGAATTAGAAGGTTAAACCCTATTATCAATGACGTAATGGTCACCACACCTATCGTTATCTTCATGGGACTGTAAAAGAAAGAAAATTTTCAGTAACTATTGTGTATTTGTCTTCTTATTATGTTTTAAACTTTTAAGTAAAAGGACAACATGAAGCAATTAGTTACCTAATGGATCTTATAAAATGTATTTAGGTTCAAAGCTTGTTGTTATATTAAAACTTTGAAAGTATTGAATATTATTTTATTGGATTGAAAGTCAATGACGAAACATGCAGCATACAAAAGTATACTGACTTTGTTAGTCAATAAATTACCGCCGTCTTCAGCTGTCAAATATACTTTGAGTACAACTGTTTATCGTAGCTGTACGTAAGTTACAATAATACTCTGAAAATTACCATGAATGCGTATTCTAGACCTAGGGAATATTATTTTAAAGGAATAGATATTAGCCTTGGCGCAGACCATCGGCTTTCAGTCGGCCGATAGTTGGGCCCGAATCTATTTTGTACGAAGAATCGATCGATACCAAATCGGTGTAATGTGCGCCCTTTCATACATGTCCATATTGTCCATACTGAATAACAGCCCGACCCGACTATCGGCCAACTAAAAGTCGGTGGTCTGCGCCTAGGATCAGTGAAACTTACCCATCAGCGTTGTGGAAATACAGCGCACTCCTCAACGTGTAGTAGATGAGCTGCATGTAGCAGTATATGACGTAGTAGAGGGCCAGCGCCGTGGCCGTCACCGTCAGCTGGACCAGGTGCACCAGGTCTGCTACAATCTGCCACGACTTGTTTCCCTGGGGATACCATCAGGTCATCAGGACAGTCGGTCTCTACTGTAAGGACACGACCCTGATTTAGCTAAGGAGAAAATGGAGGATTTGGCCTTTTTTTTATCCAGGAAAATGGCCTATCCATACCTACCGCCGGGGGACGGCAGGTTATGTGGGGCTCGAACTCACTAAAAACCTGGGGTGTTCCCTCTGCCGCATAGTGGTCGGCGCCTTGGGTACTAGAAACGACCAAGGCGCCTTCCGCGGACGTCCCGCCCTACACGGCGGGACCCAACACGCCCCCACTTAATGGGCCTACACTCTCCACGCTTACCAGGCGACTGGGGGATGCCTAATTGTTTTCTAACCTGATTGCTTGGGAATGCCTGATGTTTAAAAAAATAATGAATCCCCAAGCAGAGTCGAAGAGAACCAAATCCCATTCTCTTTCTCCTGCAGTGGAGACTAAAGGACCTGATGATGATGATAATGTTGATGAAATTGTTTCAACGACGCGATCTCAGTAATCATTCAACTCGGTTCTAATTTTATGATATTTTTACACCATACCTACTTTTCTATGGTAGATACAGAAAATTCAATGACTTATGGAAAACCTTTCCTGAAATGAAAATTCTGAAATAATTGTAGTTAATTTTCAGAATGCATAATAATATTTATACGAAATATTTCTAACTAATTTGCAGAATGCAAGTTCTTAAAACTAAAGACATCAGACATAGTAAGGGGCCGTCCATAAATTACGTCATCGATTTTTTCAGATTTTAGACCCCCCCCCCTACAATCATCCTAGCGTCATTTCTTAATTACCCCCCCCCCCCCTTCTCCCAAAATTGACGTCATTACCAGTTTGACAAAATTAAAACACTT